GGAAGTGAAGTACCCGGCATCCTTCGATAATAAAGTGTTCGACGCAGGCAAACAGGTGTATCCTCCGCACTAGGACTTGCCAGGTGCACGAACCTATCGCATCGTTAAGTGGCTGCTTTTATGGTCGAGCATTTTCAGCATTTCAGAAAAAATTCGAAACAACAAATTGAGCTGCAAGGATGAACTTAAAGAATGGAGGCCAAGGGCTAAAAGGTTACATTAAAATGCACATATTTATATTTAAGTTTCATACTTTGTATAGCTTTAGAAGCATATTTCAAGCACCCTTTTAAAAAGCTGTTTTTATTATCGTAGGGTATATATTTAAGCTATTAATATTTTTGGCCACTTAAAATTTATCCGGAGGAATATTTATTTAATTATTAAATATAGTATTTTCAATTATTATTATTAAAACATTAATTGCATTTAATAAAACAAACCCTAAGATTGGATTCAAACTGCAATGTCCAATTGCCCATATTATTAAATATAAAATTATTAAATCTTTCGATTGTGGCACAGGCAATCAAGTTTTCATTTTAAATCATGCCTGGCGTCCTAAATAATTTGTTTATAGTAAACCAATCGAAAGTTCCCCGAACAATATTTACACGCAATTCGAGGAGAAATGGCGGCTGGGTAAAATGGTAAAATGGTAAATGCATTTTCCAGCGAAAAGCCATAATAACAATGGCGAAAGTGCAAACAATTTATGGCCGGTGTCCTTGGCTCGCAGAATGCCAGCCTGCAGGTGGATAATGTTTTCGAAAGCCCCAACTTCATGCTATCATCGTGCGATCCATCCAAAAAGCCATCCGTAACCCTTTGGCCATTGATATCTACCCTGAATTCATATTATTAAGTTTATTATGCGGTTCCATCTGTCCGTACGACGAATCGAAAAAGGATGCGAGGCAAAACGAAACGGAACGAAACAAAAAAGGGCACTGCTTCGAATGAGAAACATGTTGGGGGCTTGGGACCAAATCAAATTTGCCAGCCCCGTCAGGACAACGGAAAAAGTGGAAGCATCAAGGCTACACTGGGCTTAAACCCAGTATCTTATAATGAAACAAAAATTTTAGCTTAAAAATAAATATTACTAATTTATTATTATATCCATTTGTCAATTCTCTAAAATAACTTAATAATTAGTTATTTAAATTTGCTTTGAGTTTGCAAGTAACTATAAATGTAAAATGTTTTAATCAATTCAATATTTTTTGAGAAACTCTAGTACTTAGAAAATGTATTTAAAATTTGTGAATTATTAAACACAGTTATTTTATCCTTAAGAAACGTGTATTGGCCGTGTAAAAATTACATATCGCTTTTTGCCTAATCTAGTGGGATTTTGCTTGGGGGACATAGTCACGTTCCTGTTCGTCTAGGCAATTACAATTTTATAACAGAATTTGTGGGACCCCCGAAACCGGGATATACTATACTTGTATATATTCGACACTCGTCTGGATTTAGGAGGCCTTAAATCGTGGCAAAAACGCTGTCAATTGGAACGGCTCTCTGACAAAGGCCAATGCAAATTGAAGTGACAATGCGACAGCCGAATATTCTTGAAGCATAAATTATAATTAAGCATAAAGGGTTGTGAGTTCTGGATTCGTGTTGCGGTTTGTTGCCTTTGGCAGATTTGCACAAATTGCTGTTGACAGTTTGTGTCAGAATTGTGGAAACTTAGGCTTATATATTTGCCAAACACCGTGTCGTTTCATTTGAGTTCTGGGAAATTGCCATAGTTTTGCGGCGATGCCAATGGCAAGGCTCATATTAAACAAGTTGAAATTTAAATTTAATGCCCACAAAAGGGAAAAGCCAAGTCCTTCTTCATCTATCAATGTGTCGAGTGTGTTTGGGTGTGAAAATTGACTTATCTCCCATAAAATGCAGCACCTTATCTTTCACATGGCTAATGTTATAATAATGCCGACGATGATGGTAATGTTTGCTGGCTTTCCTTTACATTCCCATTTTTTTTTTTGAACTGGCCATGTGTAATGGCATTTTGACAAATTATCTTCCCATAAGCCATAAATAATCGTTTGCACTTTGCACCGTAGGCAGCTGAATCTTAAGATGCCACCTCTGGATCGTCGGGTCTATTGAATCGATCATAAATCATAAAACAATTTAAACATATTTAGTGCGGTGCGCAACTAAAAAGTAATTTAATTTTTCTTAATTCTTTACCATTGAGTTATAAAATACATTTTAGCTTTTGTATAAATCTACACTTTTGTGCAATGTTAATATAGTGTCAGATAAAATTATGTTAAATATATATATATTAAATCAAAATAAACTTTGATAGCTTGATAGTTTTAAAATTCCATATTGCATTATTTATTCCTGATAATTTTTGCATATATTTCTTCGGAGCAGACGAATATATCCCAGAACCAATCCCAAAGTCATGCAGAATTTTAGTGTATGGGTGTCTTTGAAAGTGGTGGCTCTGTTTTGCTCTCGAGTTGTCCTTGCAGACAAACTAGACAAACTAATAAGTTCTCCCACACGAGTGGCTCTAATTTTCGCCTTCATAATTTGCCATAAAATCCACACGTTCATTTACAAATCATTTATCATAATGACGCCAACGCAGCTGACAAAGTGGCTTTCGCACACAGTGGCATTTTCCCGAGGAAAATTGAGCAGGATGCTGGCAAATTGTGGGCGGTTGTCGTGGGCAATTGGATGCCACTTGCGATGCGACTTTAATAAAACTTTTCCTTTGGCCTGACAGCCGAGCGCCGAGAGAATGCGATAGGAAACCGGGCGACCGAAGCGACATGGAAAACACTTTTCACTAGGCCGGTGTGGGCGTGGCCAACAAACGCCTGCACTTTGACCCCCTCATTTGTTTCTGGTTTCTGGGACAACTTTTAAGGGTCCTCGGATGTATTTGTCTTAGGCTGAGATTCAATTCCAGCTAAGATAACTGAAGAAGGGTAAATCAAAATCGCACCCTATTTATATATAATATTAACAAATTTTTCAGACTCTCTTAGGATTTATCAAATAGCCGCTTTTGATATTTAAATGGATTTCGACAAGGTGTTGCAAATAAATAAAATTTAGTAATATTTTCTAAACACTTATGTTTTATTTATGAAATTCTAGTGATTTCTGTAAAATATTGTCCCCAAAACTTGTAGTAACTTTTTCAATACTCTCTGCTTTAAAATCATGAAGCCTTTTCGCACAACCCAAGCATGCGTTTAAATATATACAAAACTCTATGCTAGGCAATTATGTTAGTTCTAATTGAGTTTTCGTATCTTTATCACTGCAAGTTGTTTTCATTTTCACTTTTATGGCGAAACTGAGCTCAAGAAAAGGGCTTGAACGGAAGCTTCTAGTCAAGAGGTTGGCTGGTGTAAAAACTATATTCTTAGTGCTTGACGTCAGTGGTTTAGTTTTACCGCTACGCCAACAGCAGCCGCCTTTTTTTTTAGTTTTCCATTTTTTTTGCCTTGCGATTTTCTTATTTTTAGCATTTTTCTCCGAGCTGTTTGAGCTTGTTTCTCTGTTTTGTTTTTGCTTCGTTTTTTCCGGCCGAAACGGGTGGGCGTGGCCACACATACACACACACACACACACACACAGAAATTCCAGGTGCGGTAAGATGGCCTCTGAGAATTTCACACCAAGGTTGCAATAAGGAAACAACAAAGCGTATACAAAAAAAAAAGTAAAAAGATTGCATGCAAAATGAGTTTGCCTGTTGAGATTTAGTCTGCTGCGTCGGTGATAGAGCACACACACACTTGTGTACTAACACAGGCGCACATCTTCGCACACACACACACACACACACACACACATTAAGGCACTTAAGGGTTTGAGGTAAAATTCCTTCATTGTCTTATTTTCCTTTTTTGCCCCCTGACATTATTTCATTGCCTACATTTTGGGGCCAAGAAATGATTTAATTAAACTAGACGACATCAAAAATATAGCTACATTTAGCGACGTCAAAAATGTGGCTAAAAGTGTATTTTACTTATTTTTTTTGATCCAACAAATTAAATATCGCTGTTATTATCAACAAAATCCCAATTAAATTCACTTTTATGATTATAATAAATCTTTTGGTTAATTAAATCTATCTGAAACGCATTGTTCTGAATGCGATTTTCTGTTTTCGCTCTTCTATTCAGTTTCTGCAATACTTGCAAATTGCAATCTTAACGATCCCAGCCCAACACCTCTCGTCCCTTAATGGGATATAAAAAATCAATTAGCTTCCGCCTGAATGCTCAGCTCTTGCAGGCGTTTTTATGTTTTTATGGCTCTCCAGCACCTCATCCTTATGGCCCCTCGTCCTTTGCAGCTTCATTTGCAATTATTACGCATAATTTGCCAGAGGTCGCTAATGAAAGCGTTTCGCCGGATGCCAATCCGAGTTTTTATAGCCTACACTGTGGAGAAATTCGTTCTATAAAAAATTGAAAAGTTCAGGAGACTTAACTTTTTTTTTATTGTTCAGTCAGAATTCAAAAGATCAATTATTTATCCTTTTGGTATTTCAGTTTTAATATTTGCTTTAGATTTTTTTTAAGTAATTTTCATTAATTGTCATGCATTTTAAAACTAGTGGTCTTAACAGCCACAGAAGGTTTAAGCGATTTATTATAACGGCCATAAGATGCTGAAAAAAAACTCAAAATATATCTAAGTGTACTTTTAACAACCGTTTAAAGAGGTCTTAACAATGTACACCCAAAAAAAGAACTGAGAGTTTAGTTTTAATAAGCGTGTGTTAAAAAATAAACTATAGACAGCTTAAATATATTTTAGATTCATGTTACAATAATTTATGTATTTATTGTTATGAACTTAAAACTTAAAATATATTTAGGTGTACTTTTATGCACCGTTTAAAGTGGTCTTAAAACTCTAGTGGTTTTTGAGTTACTACATTTAGTTTGAAGACTGGAAAAATCTAGTTAATGATATCTTTCTAGCCTGAAACTTACCCAGTATGACCAGTCCATTGCCCAGGAGCCCAGCAAAGCCGATAATGCCGAAGAAGACAGGAACTATCGTCGACACAATGCGTTCGAGGGCCACACTCTCCGCATCGTACTCCATCGAGTCGTTGGCGCTGTGGTCTGAGTGCTCCGAGGTGAGTCCATAATTGTTGCCACTACTGTTGCTAACGGTCATAATACTACCATTTCCGGTGGCTGCCAAGGAGGCTTTTGCCCAACTGCTAATTAAGATGGCCAACAAAAGAGCCATCGACCGATGGCCAGCCATCTTGGCAGAGATTCTTTTCGTATATAAGTACTTTATAGTATAAGTACTGTAGTACCTTCTCTATGTGTTTTTTTTTTGTCAATTCTTTAGGGGCGTTTTTTAATTGGCTGTCTTTCTATTGTTTGTTTCGGCACGCCCCCGGCCACGCCCACCTCGGCATTTGCATTTCCCTGAGTTATATCGCCCTGAAAGAGACAAATTGAAGTGGTGTAATAAATATTTTAGATATGAGCTGGCAAATGCAGATACGTGGCCATAGAGCGGCGAATAAATCTACATCCATATCGCCCCCATATCGTCGCAAAATAGATGGACAGTCAAGGCCGATGTCGATGTGTGGGCGTTGTGATAAGTTTTCCTTTTTGTTTCGCCCCAATGCAGAAAAGTGAAATGTGCTGCACAGTGGGCTTAATTCTAACAAGCAACGATACAAATCTATGCAATATATAAATTTGAAGGAACAGCTTGCACAAATTAATAGATAAACACAATTCAATTCTTCTACTTTTGTAAACATTTATAATAATAAGCTGCTAATAATATAATATACAAATTGTTTTGTTCTGCAACAGCAGTTTCAAAATATACAATATTTTCATTGACTTCACTGCATTTCGATGTCATTGTTATTGATTTAATTGCATTTAAATTGCTTGAGAATTTTGCCACATTTTTCATTTTCATATTTTGCCTCTTAGAAATTCTGGTTGCTTAAAAATGCATAAGATTTCGTATAAATGTGCAAGAAAATGTTATGCTATTGATTTTCCGACATTTATTAAAACGTTGCACAACAAAAGTATTGGCTAATAATTTGCCATTTCAAAAATGGATTAATATTCCCTTTGGAAAAACTTGAAGTGACAAATTTATTTTCAACGCCACTGTTCCGCAGACTATCATCTGCATGACCATGTAAAAATTATGCAAAATTTATTTAATTCCATTACAAGGAAACAAGGGGAAAATTTTGGGAAATAAACTGTGGACCTTGGCAGCATTTCATCAAATTTGCATAGTTAAATAAATAACATCAATGTCAAACATCCTGGATGGGATATGGCGCATACGCCACGTGCGCAGCATCAATTAGTTGCCTAAGGATAACACTTGTAAGCATGTTACTCGCTTTTTTTCTCTTTTTTTCTCTTTTTTTCTTTTATTTTATTTTGTTGCTATCCAATGGCATTACACTTTAACTACTAATCGAGGAGACATATGTGCTGTCATGTCGTGTCTGAAATGGCACGCACCCTTCGCTGACAGTTGGCTTAAGCTGTCAATTATCATATTATTAAGCGAGCAACACAAAAAATACAGCCATATCAGAAGGAGTCTTCCTTCCGGGGGAAAAAAAGGGACGGAAAAGGAGCAAAAACCGGGGGATTGACAAACGATGACGACAAAGAAGGACGAAGCGGCATAATTGAGTGCGTCTGAAGATCGAAGAATTCTGTTGGCGGAATTCCAGGAACCTTTTTTACTCCGACAATAAAACAAGTGCTTTCATAGGTCTAAAACATAACAAGAAATACAAGAAATACAAGAAATAAAAAGAATAAACAAATTGTAGGGTAAAAATAAATATCTGACCATTGAATTCCAAACTTTATGTACAATATATAAATTAAATATATACAATGCAAATGAAATTGCAGTATTCAATATTATAATATTTTAAATAAGGTGAAAATTATAAGATTTCAAATTGTTTTTACTTGATTTATATGCATTTTATTTAATTTAAATATGGCTTAAACTTAAACCAAAACTGTATCGTTTGAGAAAAGCCATAAAGCCATAATAAAAATAGCATTTTAAAATATAAATAATTTATAAAATTTAGCAGAAATCTCAATTAAATAAACATAAAAAAACTATTGAAATCTCATATTTTTACAACAGAAATTCGTGGCGAGAACACTCCGTTCCTCAAGATTCAATTCCAAAGACGACGTCGGCGGAATAAGTGGCAGACAAAAATAAATATAACAGACGGCATCAAATTGGCATCGTATGCATACGAATTTGCGAAGGGCAGAGCCATCCAATAAATTGCCATCTATAAATTATGCAGATGATATCGGGAGGCACTTCTGTGATTGTTGTCACAAATTGCCTGTGACTGGGTGAATTATTTCCGCAGTACTTTTAATTAAATCAAGCAATAATTATGAACTGTTTGTCTCCTCTTATCGGAGATCTTATTATTCATTTTTTGGCGACGCTATCTGCGATGGGGAATTATGGACTGGTGAACGCGATTTAATGGTTTACGTCTTCTAAACTCCACGATTTATGTTGAGCATTTTAAGCTGTTTTGATTTACGGCTTCCCAGATAAATTTCGCTGTGTGGCAAACTGTTTACGGATTAAGAGGCAAATAAAAGAGCGACCGGAAGTGGCAGTGACTCCTCCTTCAGTTTTTCCCGACTTTTTCACGCTTTTCCGCCGCCACAAAAAATGCGGCTGAGTCATCGGGGGCAAGCGCGCATGAAATTGAATTTGTAAGTTCCACGATTTTCTAATCGTGTATCTAATTTATTTACAGAAATGGCTTAAAAGAGTCCGTCAGAGAAGGTACCACTATATACAACATTTTTTTTTAGATCTTGTATTTTTCACATTAATTGAAATATTAATAATTATAATTCACCTCCTTTTAGAAGAAGAATTTGTGAGATTTGTTAGTAAAGACAATTAGAATATCTTTAAGCTATAAAAATTAATCTATTTATTGCCCAATTCTCAGCTAAAAATCGGAAATATCCTGTAATTATTTCTGTTCAGCTGCAAAAAGAAAACGGGAATTGATTTTTGGTTTACAAGGCAAGACGATAACTTTATTATTCACAATCAGTAATTGATGTTCGGGAATGTGAAAGTTGCATTTAATCCACTTTTCGCCCATCACGTGATAACGAAATTGGTATCGTATAGGAAATGGGAATCCATCACTTCGGTCCATACATGACAGCATATGGTCTGCATAAATCGCGACACAATAATATCGCTACACAGGAAAAAATTATTGTTATATCATTATTTAATTATTTCTTTAAAAGTAGTCGTTTGCCCCATTGTGCAGAGGTGTACAATAAAAAAATAGATTTACAAAAAATCAAAGTTTTAAAAGACTTCTTGGTGAGTTATTATGGGTTTTAAGTTATATTTGGATAATTTTATTCGTGGGAAGGTATTGAATAAATAAATAAATTCAACAATCAAAAACAGTTTTTTTCTCGTGTAGTTTGGGGGATAAATGTCAGCGGGCAGTCAGTTAATCAGTCATTCGTTGGTATTGCTGGTGCTGTGAGATTACGTATACGCAGCGTTGCGCTATAGTGCATATACGCGGCGTTGTGTGTTTATCCTGTAAACTACAACCCCAAGCGAGTATTCCTTGGCCATGGAATTCCGCACAATAGAATTGTGGACCACAAATGCAAATTCCCTTCGCCCGAATGCGATTTGAGGTTTGAGTCAATTATTTGTGGGCCACTGATTATTCAATGTATTTCAATTAGAAGGAAAAGGGGCGACACCGCTCATGTGGCTTTTATGTACATGGCGTTCAATCTAATTGCGTTTTTATGGCCCAAGTGCGAATCATAAAAGCCAGCCAAGCAAAAACATCTGAAGGCAGGCGGCAAAACAATAACATCATCATTAAATTGGAAGCCAAACCCAGGCGGCATCTGCTGTAAATCAAGTATTAATAATTAATTAACTCTCGGCAAAAGCAGCGGATAAAGCAAGCCAAGACAAAAAAAAAAAAAAAGGAAACAATTTCAAAGTTGAAAGCGTTTGGGTAACACACATGAATCACGGCGTTTTTTTGTTTTCTTTTGGCAAATTTGTCCATTTAAGGTAGCAAACAAGTTGAGTGGAAAAACAGACACAAACTTAAAATTTGGGGTGAAAAGAATAAACCTTCATTTTGTACACAGGCATTAATTTTTTGTAGAATTTAAAAAATTAAAAGAAAGGAAGCAAACTTCGTTAAGCCGATGTTTTTTTTATTTGCATACAATGTAGATGAATATTGTAATATATGCAGACAAACTTTAATACATTTACAATTGACAACAAAGGTGAGTTATATAAAAGGTTTTTATTTTGAATACAATTGCTCAACAAATGAATAAATTTAATCAATATCCTGCACTAAATATTTGAGTGCTCTGATAAGCCTGGTAATGTGTCAGAAGCTACCTGTTTTATTGACAATCCCCGTCGTTGCTTGCCCGCCATATCGAATATATTTTCCACGTACTGCCCACTTTTCCTCCGCCCTTCAAACAATTTTGCATTTAGAGGCAAATAGCGCTTGTGCAGTGCAGTGTGTGTAAATTAAATGTGTTTGTCATTGAGCTATTTGCATAGCTCGGAAAGAGCAGGAAAAGGCGGTAAAATTGCTGGGAAAAGGTGGGACGGGCTGACGGGGCGTATGCTTGACATCGCTGCTATTGACCGTATTTAATTTGTGCGGAGAGGAGCCGTGGCTTTATTTGGCATTCGACTGTCAAAAGAATGCTTCAATCAAATTGCCTACGGAATGGTCAACGGCAAAAAGCCACAAAAATGTAATTACAAATTAAAGCCCAATGCTCTGATAGCCGTAATATGCAACCACTGAATTCATTAAAATAATAGAACAATTCAAGGTTGGCCCACACAAAAAACCCATTTAACCCATTTCATCCCGATCGAACAGATTACGTAATTTGCTTTTGGTAATGCTCTCCATAATTAAATGTCAGTGATACAAAAAGAAAACTGATTTCCCAGTAAGCGACAATACATTATTTTAATATTAAATAAATTATTTTATGGGCCATCTCAGTAGCATTAATTAACTATCAAATTGCAACTCAAAAAAAAGCCAATAAAATGAACCTATAAAATGGTTTTTACTTTATTTTATTATTTTAATTCGGTCGTATTTTTATTCATCTTTGTCACCCATTTTTGTCTAGTTTCATGTTTTAAATACCCATCAATAACCATATCAAAACTCATTAAAGACAAATTAGTGAGTCCACAAATTTTCTGCACCCTCCGCTTTTTTGTGCCTGCTGCAACGCATGTTTGGATTAAGGAAAACTTTCGACTAGCTTAATTAAAATCAAATTTTGTTTATGTACGTATATACTTTTGTGTGGGGTCGGCCCTCTTTAATTTT